AATATTTGTAAAACACCAAGTCTGAATTATTTCTACTTCAAAGTAAAGTATACATGTTCTTTTGAATAGGCCACATTTAAGGGATGGATGGATATAATGTATGCAGCTGTTGATTCAAGAAATGTAAGTATTTTTTTAATTCTAAGACCTTTTACAATCCTAATTACGGACTTCATTTAACTTAGAAAAGCTTAGGCAGGCTAATGAAATTATTCTACATTGATTTAAAAGTATAACTCATAGTTAAATCCAGAAGAAAAAAAAAAAAAAAACTGCTGAAGTATTCCCAGAAATACTTTGTCCATTCTCATATGAAAATTTGTTATAATATTTTGCAAAATATTCTCCTTTGGTAGGTGGAACTCCAGCCTAAGTATGAGGAAAGCCTGTACATGTACCTTTACTTTGTTATTTTCATCATCTTTGGGTCCTTCTTCACTCTGAACCTGTTTATTGGTGTCATCATAGATAATTTCAACCAACAAAAAAAGAAGATAAGTATTTCTAATGTTTTATCTCCCACTAAGATAGAAAAATGATTTGAAGTGTTTTCTCTAATACATAAGCACTTTAATTCAGAAGTCAGATGACGTCTATATTAAAATGTGTTTTTACTTCCATATTCTTGCTCATAGGCTCATGAAATCACTCCCCTACTTTATTTTCATTTTTCCTTCCTTTTTAAAATCAGGGATGACATATTTGATAATTTGAAAGAGAAATACTTTTAAAAAACCAGCAATGTACCCTTCTCCAAAGTCTTGTTTGTTTGTATGTTTCTTTGTTTTTTTTCACCCCAATAATCCCGCCAGGCAAAAATGTGTTTTGCAGTGAAAACCTACAGAATCTCTATAAGAAATAAGGCATCAGATGCAAACTTCTTCTAGTACTTCTTCTCACACTTTTTCATCATTGGTTTATTTTATATATTACAGTCCCATTTCTTAGCCCCTAATATTTAGTTAAAAGCTGTATAGCCTTTCCACTCTTGAATTTGACTGCTCCTCATTTTACTAGTTATTATCATTTATAAAGATTATTTATAACCCAAATGTACATGTGCAGTATAGAAAATATGGAAAGTAAAGAAACATAATCACCTGGGAGTAACATTATTCACATTTTATTGGTTTATGCCCTAACTTTTTCTGTGCAAGTTCTTATTGTTGAAATTATTTTATCTGTAATAATAAATTCTCCTTTTGATTATTGTATTTCCCATTTTGCTAAAAGTCTATGTGTATGTATAAAGTATATGTATCTATAGATATATATACTTGCTGTTGTTGTTGTTAACTGCCTTTGAGTCGGTTCCCACTCATAGGGACCCTGCATAGGATTTCCAAGGTCGGCTGGTGAATTTGAACTGCTGACCTTGTGGGTCAAACTGACCTTTCGGACAGCACCACACCCGGACTCTGTGTATTTATATGGTAGTGGTGGTGTGCCATGGAGTGGGCCCCGACTCACAGCACACCTGCATAGGGTTTCTGAGATTGTATCTCTTTGTTGTTGTTGTTGTTAAGTGCCGTCGAGTCGATTCCGACCCATAGCGACCCTGTACAGGGTTTCCGAGGGTGTAAATCTTTACGAGAGCAAAAAGCCTCATCTTTCTTCCGCAGAACAGCTGGTAGTTTTGAACTGCTGACCTTGAGGTTAGCAGCGTGACTCATAAGCACTGTACTGTCAGAGCTCCTTGTATGTATATCCATATATATTGAGAAAGAGAGAGTGAAATCTGTGAAAGCTGGAACTAAACGGAACTTTGTTTTAAAGATTTCCTTCTTTGACACGTTTCTGCCTTATGCAGGTTTCAGCTTTTCCAGTTATATATGGTATGGAGCTGTAGGATAAGCACTAGACTGCTGCTAACCAAAAGGTCGGCAGTTAAAACTCACCAACAGCTCCTTGGGAAACCTACACAGACAGGGTCTCTGTGAGTCAGAACTGACTTGGCAACACATTCCAACAACAACAAATATATACATATATAGTCTTAAAATATATGTTTACTTTACACATATACTATATATATGTGGAGTCCTGGTGTGGCACTGTAGGATAAGCACTGGACTTGCTAACCACAAAGTTGGCAGTTCAATCCTACCAGCCACTCTTTGTATAGAGTTCCTATAGAGGGTTGCCATGAGTTGGAAACAATTTGATGGCACTTCACAACAACAACAGCATACACACACACACACACACACACACACACACATATATATAGTTATTGTTATTGTTGTTGTTATGTGCCATGGAGGAGTTGGTTCCGATTCATAGTGACCCTGTACAGGTTTTCTGAGGCTGTAAATCTTTATGGGAGCAGAAAGCCTCATCGTTCTCCCGCGTAAAAGCTGGTAGTTTCGAACTGCTGACCTTGCGGTTCGCAGCCCGATTTGTAGCCACTATGCTATAATTATAATTATTTAACCATTCCCTGATAGATTGAAAAATTAAGTTGTTTTAAATATGTAATCACTTAAATAACTCCTTGACTCTTCCAGCAACAGTGTCTGAATGGACCTCTATCACTGCCCTCTCACTGGCATCAATCTCTCTCTTTTTTTCATGTTTCATGTTTAATAGACCAAAAGTATATTTAATTTAGCAAATACTGTCTAATGATGATGTGTGGAGGAGATTGGAATCATTGCAGTGTAGCAATGAGTGTAAAACCAATATTTTCCCATGTAAACTATCATTCAATTCACAATAAAAACTTTTTTTAAAGTGTATTTAATTTAATATCTAGATCTTTTATTGCTAGTAGTTTTGAACAAATTTTTAAGTGCTTATTATCTAGTTGGATTTCTTCCTGTGCTGACTGTTCATTCATCTCATTTGCTTAGTACATTTTCTTGTCAAAATAATAAATGCTTTTGCCGCAAGAGATGCTCATGCATAACATTTTTGTCCCTCATCTCTTTTCTTATTACTGTTATAATTCTGTATTCAATAACTTATTATTTTGTTGTTCTAAATGGGTCATGTATCCATTTCACTTATTAGTCTGAGACCAGTCTTTTCTACTGGCTGACCTATCACATAAGAACCTGCCACATTTACAACCTCTGATATTTATCCAAATTTTCTATCACTTAGTCTAACTTTCTTGCCATCTCTTTTATTCTACCTCTTGGCAAAGTGAAAATGACTTTTTAACTATTAACTTGCATCCAGTTGTCAATGAACTCTTTAGATTTTTAACTGTAAAAATTTAGCTTTTTAATTTAAATTTAATTTTGAGTTTTCTTTTTAAATTTTTTAAAATTTAAAATGTAGGGCCCTGTTACGCTAATTAGTTGTATTTTGCATTTCTTTTTTAAAATGTCCTTTCCTATTTTAAATTTAACACTTTAAAAATGTGTAAAAGGACACAGTTTTAACCAGTTTTGATTTTTCTTTTCTATACTTTGGAGGTCAAGACATCTTTATGACAGAAGAACAGAAGAAATACTATAATGCAATGAAAAAACTGGGATCAAAAAAGCCACAAAAGCCAATACCTCGACCAGGAGTAAGAAATATCAAATGACTTAAGAAAATAAACCCCAAAACTTGCCTGTGTTTTTTGTTTTGTTTTGTTTTTGTTTTTCACAAAAGAGATAGCGGCTAACATTTCCATCTGAAATATTTCTTCCACTTTTAGAATATCATTAATGCGTATATTTTTTGATAGTGGTAAAATGTGAAAAGGAATAAAAGAACAAAAAGAAAAAAACAGAAAATGCATCCTCATCTTATAGGGATTTAGAAGTACACAATTAAAGTCTAAAAAAGCACAAAAGGACATACGGGAAATGTGACTTGCACAAGCAAAAGTTGATCATTGCCTAAAACGTGCATGTTGTTGTTAGATGCCATCGAGTCAGTACCAACCCATAGCGACCTTATGCCTAGCAGAATGAAACACTGCCCGATCCTGGGTCAACCTCACTATTGTTGCCACGCTTGAGTCCATTGATGCTGCCACTTGGCCAATCCATCTC